TCACAATTTTTATTTTTGTTTGTTTTCCAGATAGGGATGTCACTTTTTGCGTTTCGTTCATGGGAATGGGGAACGCGGGTATGGGTGTGGGTGTTAGCGAAGAGTAGGTGAACAGAAACACCTACACCCCTTCTTTTTTGTGGAATCAATAGTAATCTTTTTTTTTCAAATTCTGCAAATTTTTATTGACTGATGTAGAAAAATTAGATCAATTAATGATCAAGTGATTCTTGTTTCTTTACTGAAAGAATTTTGATGATGTAGTATTCACAATGTCAATCATAAAGTCAGCCAACAAACAATAATAATACTAATAAATGTTTCAATAGTTCATAAAAATCAAAACAAAACAAACACTACTAAGACAAACTTTTGTTTTTTGTTTTTATTTGATATTGATTATGAATTTCGAGTGATAACAAATTCCATTTCGGCATCTATTACTTAATCAAAATAAAAAAAAAAAAGATATTATTTTCATAAAGAATCAAAGAAAACATACAGGAAGTTTTTTAGTTATAATCACATTGATGTTTTCTTTATTCGTTAAATTGATCGACAGAACAAATGGTTTTTTTTAAAACAACTTCAATTTCATCCCGATGTTCAGATGCAACACGAGCAATTTCACTTGTTTGCGGTTCCACTGAATAATGAATTGTTATATCATTAGTTGGAATTAATTTAGGCTTGAATAAAAATTACATTGGATGATTAAAATTAATAATTGATATAAAAAAGACCTCTTTTCGAAGTTTTTGAATTCGACTTGTAATTTGCTGAATACGGCCTTCATCTTTTAATGTTGCATCCGCTGTATAATCAAGTAAAACAACACACTATCAATAGAGAAAAGAAAAATATAAAATTCAAAGAAAAGAAAAGAAAAGACAAAGAATAAAGTTGTTGTACTCCTTGTTTAGCAATAGCTTCAAATTGTGTTTGTTTCACCACACGAAAAAAAAAAATGAACACCTTCAGATTCAATTGGTACATCATCAATTAGCGTTAATGGACTTTCACTTTCACCTTTTGACAATAGTTTCTCAATATCTGTATCAGTCATTTGACGAATTTTTTCAGCGATTGATTTAACTTTAGCAATTCATAAATTTATTATGAAATAAATATTTAAATAAACATCCAAAAATATTTACCACCAAATTTTTTGCCTAGTGTTGGATAATTTGGTTCAGCATGCAGTTCGACATCATAAAGTTCACGATCTTGAGATAATGTTACTTTATACACATTTAAACGCTTCAGAATAAAAGTAGAGAGATAAATATATTAGAAAATATAAACATATTTCTCGAACAAAATTTTCTAATGATTCGATATCTTTTAAAACAGATTCATCTTTATGAATAACAACAAATTCTGGTAATGGATACTAAAAACATAATTTAATTTTCTATATTCATTGAAACAACTTTTCGTTCTCATATCACTCGACTTAATCCAACGAACTGTTTGTACGGCAACAATCGCACATTCAATATCTTCATTTACTGACGATCTTCTAAGAAAAAAATTCTTTTTAAATATTTTATTGACATTAAAATAGAAAATAATGAACTGTGATCTTGGAATCATTTGAAAATGAACACTTAATTCTTCTTCAGAAGAAGATGATGAAGATTGCAGCATTAATTTTCTTAAAATTTGATATATATATATTCAGCAAGAAATGGTGCCATTAATTTAACCACTGTTAAAAGTACATTACAAAGAACATTTCATGAAACAAGACAATCTTCAAATGTTGTTTCACCCTAAAAGAAAGTCAATATTAATCTAACATTCATAAAAAAGCAATATTTTGATTTTTCAATAAATTGAGAATATTATTTTACTTTAAAACATTTCTTGTTCAATTTAACATACCAATTAGTTAATATATCAATATTTTAATAAGATGAGACACCACTGTATATAAACGATAAGCTAAAATAAAAACAGAATTTCTTAGAAATGATTATCTTGAACTTTTAGAAAGTACAAAATGAGTGATTCAAAAATTCTTCGAGTGATCTTTTCTTATACATTTCTTTACTTGTCTTGAGATCCAGGCTTTTCCAAATTCTATAAATATGTACATAGAATCGTACATCAATGTGATATTTACATTACACTGAATGTCGGTGTTGGTGATGGGTGCAATGTGGGTATGTATGTCAGTACGATTGTGGTTGTGGATGGGTGTATTTCCTTCGTATACCTATACCCACACCGAATTCTGACACGATTTGTGGATGTAGTTCTTGGTCCACCAGATGTGTTCGAAGTCATACAATAAATATAAGACCTTTTTTCACACTGAGCTATAATAGCATTTTGTTTTCGGTATTAGCTTTTAATTCTTAGCTTTGTCAAAACCAATATATGTTGCGAAATGTTCTATATTTGATTAGTTTCACATGTATTGGTACTATCGCTGAACTTCTTCGATCATACGTGAAGTTAACTTGAATGTTTAAATATTAGGATTTTCAAATATTGATTAACCCATCTTCGTGACATACTTTAAGCTTTGAGAGAAGCAGAAAACATATGTCCGATAATATCGAAAAAATGAAATTTCGGAATCATCTTGAATGATTTCCTCATAAAATATGTTTGATTATAAGAATTTTCTTAAAATATCTTTTTCTAATGTCATTTTATTTATTTTACGCTGTTTCGTATCATGTTACATAGTGAGTTATAACAATTAGTCTGTCTTGTAGTTATTTGAGTACCCACCATAAGATTGATGATGAGTTAAATATTCTCGTGATCTGATCCATATGTACAAATATTGTTTTGTTCCTATTTTGAGTTCTTTTCAATCAAATAGACATGATCCATATCGTGCATTTACTTGAACTCACACCGGTATACTGTCGGTTGCCTCGAGTAACGTAATATACCGTTGGTTTTCTTGATTACCGCGGTAAACCAGTGGTAAAACCATTACATTATCGAAGTATGTTTTATCATACAGTTTCTATGATATATCAGAAAAATCTGATTTTTTTACTAGTTATAGTATTCATATACTGCTAATGATCTGCCAAGGATAAGGGGTTTATCTCTTGTTTGAAACCAAAATGATTGAGTATCTTCGCAAAACCTGTTCATAAATATCAAAAGATTTTTTAGAGACATTCAATTATTTTGGTTTTATTACGGACATTGCCCTCACAGTATGTTTTTCTTTTTCTTTGTTCTTTCTTTTTCCATAGATGTGATATCTTCGATCATATATCATCATTTCTTTCTTTTCGTTAAAACGCTCGATGCGTGTGCGAGGACATTTTTGATTTAGTAAAAAATAAAGGAAAAGGTCAACCATCTTTTTTCTTTAATAGGTTTCAAACAAGAGATAAACCTCTCATCCTTGGCAGATCACCAGTATTATACAAGTACTATAACGAGTAAAAAAAATCAGATTTTTCTAATGTATTATAGAAGCTGAATGATAAAAAAAAAACCATCACGACATCCGGTCAAACCCATATATATTTTTTTTCTTTCATAACGCTCTTTGTAATTTGGGTGATTGTGAACATTGCACTAAGCAGTAAGTGTTTTTTATATAAATTATTATTAATTATATCATTGTTTTATTGACGAAGATTTCAATGTCAAAATAAAAAGTATCTATTCATGGAAAATATTATTATTCTATTGATTTAGGCCAGCCTAAACGTCGTAACCTACAAAAATCTTATTCTTTTGTTTTATTCTTTTATTTAGAATAATCTTAAAACTGACAAATTAAGTATTTTTTTTTAACCAAGAATTATTTTATTTTTTATTCTTCTGGACATTATCTAGTCGAAAAAATGAAGCAAAAACACACTATTTATCATAAAATCTACGATCTGCTGTCTTGTGGATCTAAGAATGAATCTATATTATTGCATAGCAAAAATTGATTTTTTTTACTTTATTATTAAAAAAATATTTTTTTTTCTATTTTAATTTTGGTATTATAATTTGATGATGAATGAAATATAGCTTTTTCTGAGAAAAGCAATTTAGTAAGAGTTATATTTCACTTAAGATGAAACTATGATATCAAAATAGAACTTTTTAATAATAAAATTTAAAAAAAATCAATTGTCTGTCTTCGGCGATATAGATTCATTCTTAGATTCAAGAGACAGCGAATCAGTAGGTTCGTACCCTCATCCTACGAGTGAAAGGCGAAATTATCGCCGATAGAGCGCACATAATACCGAACGATCAACCGGCGGTACATCGTCAATTTTTTTTCCGGTTCGAATCACATGAGGATATCGTTATCATCGAAAGCTTCAAAAAAAAAGAATGACCATTGGTTACTACTCTTATTGTGACCGTCTCTAAACGAGCATGGAGAAAAAAAATCATCGTTAAATTTATTTTACTACTTATAGTAGTATTTTTTTTTCTCTCTCTCCTGTACATATATATATATATATATGTATATTTAAATTTTGTGTGTAAACGTCATTATTTGCGTTCTCTGAGTAGATAGGTATTGTTCGTTATGCCCTCAAAACCAAGGAAAAAGATTCAAGGCCCAACTCTTTATACAACATTTGTTGATGCTTATATGAAAGCTCGACCTAATGAAAAACGAGCTGTAAGTTCCTTAATTAATTAAAACGAAACGAAATTTTTTTTTTTGGTGTTTTAAAATAGGACAAACATTATGATGCAAAAGTTGAATGGAATAAAATAAAATGGAATGAAGAATATGTCAAAGAAAAAATTGAACAATATTTAGAAAAATATAATGAACTTGAAGCATCTTCAAAGGAAGATATTGAAGATCCATTATCATCTTCTTTTTCAACTCAATCAAAAACTAATCGTTGTCAACCCAAAAAGAAACCTAAAATTGATCAATCTAATGATACAATAAATGAAGATAATAATAAAAATAATAATAATGAAAATATCACAGATGATAAACAATCAAAGAATTTTGAGGATATGGATGAAGATGATTTAGAAGATGATAATAACGATGATGATGATGATGATGGTGATGAAAATGATGAAGAAAAGAAAAAGAGAAATAGGAAAAAAGCTTATTTTATTAAAAAACGTAGAAGAACAGCTGAAGAAGAATTACTATTTGAATATCCATTACAATTACCAAATGCAACTGGTGGTCCATTTGAAGCATTAGTAAAACAAAAAAAAACACCAGCACAAGAACGTATTTTTCTAGCATTAAGTTCTATTAATGAACGTATTGCTACATTAGTACAAGTTAGACAAATGGGTATAACAACACCAGAAAATAGAAAACAATTAAAACAATTAATGAAAGATAGAAAAAAGAAATTTTATGAATTAAAAATTCTTCAATCAAAACAAATATCTTCAACTGTAAAGACAGTTAAAAAAAAACAAATTGTATGAACAATTCTTTTTTTTTTTTTGTTATTTTCATTTAAAAGTTTTTTTTCTTTTTCTTTTCTATTTTTCTAGTTTGACCATTTATTTGAAACAAAACCTGAATTACATCCACAATTAAAAAAACTTTATCGTCGTGTTGCTGGTCGACCACGTGTTGAAGAAGAATGCCCTGATTTATTACAAATTATTGAAGAAATTGCAAAAGTTGGTGGAGCAAGTGATGATCGAAGACAATCAGAAACTATTCGACCTTGTTTAACATTAGATGATTTAAGAGAAAAAATTAGACAAAGAGGTTATGATATTAAACGTACAACACTTTACTATCGGTAAATTAATAAAATCTTCTAGAATAAACATCTTTTTTGCCAATCGTATCAAAATTTTTTAAATTTTCTATCCAATAATTTATGCACTATTGCAAGTTTTATTGTGTACGGTTGAAACGTCGACAGAGGTTACTATCTTACTCGTGACTAGAATAGAATACAATAGAGGCAGCGGCATCTATTGATATATCAGCTTCTGGGATAAATAATGATCATGATGTTTATATTCACTTTTAATCAACACTCATCGACAATTATTTTAAGTTCTATGATGATGACATTTTTCGCTAAATCAATTTCGTCTCATATTTATAAACATGACAATTAGATATTATCTCATTCTGAGAACGGTTGAATTCGAACTCATGAAAGTTAACAGAAGAGATTTCATTATCTGATCTTGATACTTACTTTTATTGATCAAAAAATAATTCTGATAACAAACTTAATTGAATTAAATTTAAGTTCAGCTTTACATTTATACAAATTTGATTAGAAAATAGATTAAGATTGAATATGAACAATCTACTCTAGTGAAGAAATTCACCAATTTAGTATTCATATATCATTTTTGTGTAGGGAAGTGGTTTGTGTAAAATGAAGAGAGTAATAGAGCTAAAGAAGATTATGAAAACCCTAGTCGAGACTCCCTAGGGAATTGATAAGTATTATCAGGGTCTCTCCAGAAGCCACTATTGGAGTTCTTTGAAAAATTCAAATTTATGAAAACTTTAGAGGAACTCTCCGAGGAGTTTTAGAGAGATCCTGAGTTATGCGATTTCCCCGAGGGTTCACGACAGGAATTTCGCATTTTTCAGGGGCTTCCCATTGAGGAGAGTCGACTAAGGAATGAGGTTTTATTTATTTTTTTAAAGAAACAAGAAAAAAAAAGAATAAAATTTTATTTTAAACAAATATTGA